TATATAATTTTAATTTTTGCTTGTTTAGCACATATTAATAATATATAATGTAAATGGTAATGAGTAGATTTTTCCAAAATCATCGTATATATCCTATAGTTATCAACAAACAATTACACCAAAAATGAAAAGCAATGATACAATCTAAATTTGGAATTTACAAAAAACACTTCTTCTTCTTGCTTTCTTCCCTTTTGAAATTTGGACTTTGATAGAAGCGTAGACATTAAATAAATTATTTGAGAAATAATTATATTTGTGTTTTTATAATTTGATTTTTTAAGTTTAAAAAGATGAATTTTAAAATTAAAAAAAATGTATTAGCGAGTTGGATCGATTAATTGACGAGTTGATTGCTTAAACCGAAATCAGCACAATTCGACTTTATAATGGTTAAAATTAATTGAAGCAATCCGAATTTTTTTTTGTTCAAACTAACCCACGGTTTGATCGGTTTTCCGGTTTTCCTCACACAAACTTACAAGACAAATAGCAAAAATCCCTTTTATTTATTTATTTATTATTATTTTTTTTGGGGGACTTTCTTAACTACCTAACAATATTACAGCAGTGGCTACGCAAAGATTCTTCTTCTTCATTCCTCTGCTACTACTGATCCCACTCTTTAATCCACCTTACTCCATGAAATTCCCTCCTCTCTCTAAGGTACTTCTAATTCCTTCATTCTCAGTTATATTTCAATATACAATGTGTGTATATATGTAAAGATTTACGTACTTATTATATACGTGTAAAAATTACGTTTCTCCAAAGAAATTTTGTGCGCGGTGTGCGTTTGCGAGCATTTCCTGTGAATTCAGTTTCTTGAACGATTTCTTGGTATTGTGAAATGCTTTCTTCTTTGTTTCGATAATCATTTTTTCTTCCCCTATCAACTTATAGTAGCTGTAAGTTTTGTTTCCATGTACGATATGTAGTTTTATATATATGTATATACATATATCAGAACATGAGACTTCTGCACAATCACGCAAGTACGCACTAGTTGTATTATGGATGAAGATTTTTGTGCTTAAATTGGGCTTGTGCTTGACAATTGCAATTAAACTATGCACTGACACTTTTCTTGATTTTCACATATTCAGTGATGCGAAGCGTCATCATGTGTTTAGTACTGTGCGTTTACTTTTTTACATCTATTAATTTTGATATTAATGACTATGATTTATATTTTCAGGGAAATTTGGGGATTTGAAGAAAATTCTTGTGGGTTTACTAGATCAATTTACTGCTCTTTCTATTTCTTGATAAAAGAATGGCTAAACTTTGTCCAATTCCGTGTCTGATTACAATTACCTTCTTGGTAATCCTGGCATTCCCAACCTCGGCCTCTACAGATAAATCCGATGGTACACATTCAAACCAATTTTTTATTCGTTTATCCTTCTTGAATTTTTTTTTTTTTTTTGCTGCATATGTTGTTCTTGAACGCTGTGGACAATGAGTTGTGTCCATTCATTCTGTATCAGAGTAAATTTCTTCAATTTATTTTTGATATTTTCTTAAATTTATATTCATGTTTGTTCTGTCATGTATCTTTTTTTGGTTGATGAGTGGCTGCTCTCGACTTTTTTTTTTTGTGGTAAAATGCAACTAAGCGTTACAAAAAATGGGGCCAGATGACTGAAAATCATACAAAATATAAAATTTAGGGTTACTTGAGCATAGAAGTACAGAGTTTTCTTGCATGGTATAATAGACATTGCACGATTTGTAAATTGTTTGTTCTTTATTATTCTGACTGATTGTTTTGTTCAGTTTCAAGAAGATATAATCATTTAACTTACAATATGCAGCCCAAGCTCTTAGAGATCTGTACAGGTCCCTGAACAGCCCACCGCAGCTGAAGGAATGGAAATTAAACGGTGGAGATCCTTGCGAAGAATCATGGACTGGAGTTTTGTGCTTTGGATCATCAGTAATCCACCTGTAATTCCATGTTCCTGAAGATAATCGAATGTGCAAGCTACTCAATTTTACCTGATTGTAATATTAAAACAAATGACATTTTCTTTTGCTTTTATCAGTAAACTCCATGGCCTAGAGCTCACTGGAACTCTTGGATTTGACCTCTCAAATCTAAGAAGTTTGAAGCAGCTGTAAGTAAATTCTTAGTAATGCCATTGCTTACTTCAGTAAATGGTATATAGTCCCGACCTTATTTCCTTACCACTTCCGTGCAATTATTTGTACTAGGGACCTTAGCTCAAATCACATTCATGGCGATATCCCCTACTTCGTACTTCCTAATGTCACACAACTGTAAGATAGCCCTATTTACTAGTTCTATTTTATAGACTAACCTCGATATAAATGCTATTACGAAAATAGTTCTCTGCCCTTTTATCTTTGATAAATACAGGAACTTGTCAGGGAATAACTTTAGCCAAAGCATTCCATACTCCTTAGTTTACATGAAACATCTCCGGCATCTGTAAGCAGCATTTTCCCTTACTGCTGAGTTTTGTTTTCATAACAATTACAGGTTATCAGTATTGTTATTAAGTTGTGTTTGTTACCACGAAAAATGGTATTCCTGCAGGAATCTGAGCCACAACACTTTATCTGGACCCTTAGGAGATGTGTTCAATGGCCTGGAGAATCTAATAGAAATGTAAGATATTTTCTAGTTTCCTTACACTGAATGTGAAGTGTAAACTTGCAGCTGATGTTAACTAGAGTTCATAAGAAGTGCATATCCCAGGGCTTTTAATGACCTTCCCTTGTGAAATTTGAAACCAAGACCCATTAGGAGGGTTTTGCATTTTATTCCCTTTTCAAGTTGACAGAGATTGAATTTTTCTTAGTTCGAAAATTTTGATCAAGTCCCTTGAATTAGACACCACTTATCAAATGAAGAAGTTAAGACAACTTTTATTAAAGACTAGGTGAAAATTGGACTTGTTTTGTTACCCCTAAATTGCTGGCACCAGTTAGACTCGGAAAATCAAGCTCAGCGGGAATATTACAGAAATTTATTCTAGATGCAAGAACTTCTAAATTGTTTCCTACATTGCTTCAGTTCCTCAACATAATTATATTCAGATCTAAGCTATTGGTATATTACTGTGATTTCTGATAAATGCATTCTGCTTTTCCAGGGATTTATCATTCAACAACTTCACCGGAGATCTACCTACGTCATTCAAAACTTTGACAAACCTTACAAGATTGTGAGTTTTTGTTTCTGATTAAGCATGACATGGATTATCAGTTCCCAACTACAACATTTTATCTTAAGCATTATTGCAGGTTCTTGCAGGGAAATGAATTTACCGGATCAGTAATATTCTTGGCCAATCTCCCACTATCTGACTTGTATGTTTACTCCAGAAAGTTAAAACTTAGTCCAAACCTTCTGTTTTTGTTTCTGTACTCGTCATGTTCACTTTCAGGAATATTGAAGATAACCATTTCAGTGGTCTTATTCCAGAAAAATTTCAAGATATACACAACTTGTGGTAAGCTACAAGTCATCCATGTAATTACTTTCTCTGTTCTGATGCAAATAAAATCTATTAATGTCTCTTAGTCTTTGCCTCTTCATCTCTTTCCAGGATTGGCGGAAATCGGTTCAACAATGGATCAAACTATCCACCCTGGAATTTTCCTTTCGATACTTTGCCCAACGAGCAGAATATCACTAGTCCACCATCTACAAATTTAAGTGCCATTGAAAGCTATCCTTCTCACAAAGTAAGAGGGCACAAGAAGAAGGGGCAGGGGGTAGCAGGAATAGTTCTGATGGTTGGAGGAGGCACTCTGATTGCTGCATGTGCAGCTCTTTTCATTTCAATTCGTATTCACCGATCACGTAGGGAAATCCTCAAAAGCTTAGGTAGCTGCGAAGGTTCAACAAGATCTTCACCAATCAGCATAGTCAGAGGTCCATACATCGCTATAAATATATGACAAGAATATTACTCAGTCCTCTCTCTTTTTTTTCAAGCAATAACTTGCCTGAATTGTTGATCAATTTTAAATCTACATATGTAGTATGATTCATTTTCGTTTCCATTTTTTACTCTCCTTTTTGCTTTGATTTATGTCGGAACAGATTATTCGTCCATGACTGTAGAGGATAGCCCACACGTGTCTTCATTCAGTTCTCCTCCAATGATTACCCCCTCTCATTTGCCCCCTATACGTTCTAAAATGATGAAATTATCTCAAAGAAAAAGCTTCTCTAAGAACAAAATATCAATGTGTGCAAAAATGTACTCCCTGTCGGAACTTCAATCAGCAACAAACAGCTTCAGTGAAGGAAACCTTCTTGGAGAGGGATCCCTTGGTTGTGTTCACAGAGCAGAGTTTCCAGATGGAATGGTACTATCTTGAACTATACAACGCAAGTTCCAGAACTTTTGGAGTCTCGTACTATCAAAATTTCTAAATTTTTGTTTCCATTTGCTAGATTGTGGCTGTGAAAAGCATTAATACAGTACCTCTGTCCATCATTGAAGAAGAAGAATTCCTAGATGTGATTCGGAATGTATCCCGATTGAGGCACCCAAACATAGTGACACTTCTTGGGTACTGCATGGAGCATGGCCAACATCTCCTTGTGTATGAATATATCAGAAATTTTTCTCTTGATGAGGCCTTGCATTGTGCCACGTACAAGCCACTATCCTGGGGCCTGCGGGTTCAAATTGCTCTTGGTGTAGCTAGAGCATTGAAGTAAGTTTCAATCGTTGTTGAACCAGCCCATTTAAAAACTTAATCTTTTAGAAACTAAAATTTTGTCTTCAACATACCCAAGATTCAATTTTTTTAATCAATGGCCACTAGTGTGCATAATTTTCATAACTAGGTGGTTGTGGCTTTGATACCATGTTGAACGATCACATCCAAAAGTTTGAACTTTTAGAGAGACGACAAATTTATTTATTAAGAATTTTGTCTTTAACAATCGGGTTCTTGTATTTGCAATTTTTTCTTGCCTGATCTTGTAGGATTATGGCCATCCACATTCTCTAACGGGGCAAGTGATGGCCTTTTTGTTCTCTCCTCTGAAATTTCAGTTACATGCATTCCTCCTGCATGCCTCCCATAGCCCATAGCAATTTGAAGGCTTCTAACATCCTACTCGATGAAGAGCTCTTGCCCCACGTTTGTGACTGCAGCCTGGCTATCCTGAGACCCCTGACCAGTAACAATGTTAAGCTCAAGGTACATATTAACAGGTTAATTTCCATTACCATTCAGAATTATTTCCAGAATATTGTTTTTGACAATTTTAAGCGTTGTATCACTTCAAAACCAAACATAACACAGGCTTCAGAAATGGCTATTGCTGATAGTGGCTACATTGTACCTGAAAATTTCCAACCTATCCAGCCTGGGATCGCTAACACAAAGGCTGATGTGTATGCATTTGGAGTGCTGCTTTTAGAGCTTTTAACAGGAAGGAGGCCATTCGATTGGTATAGTGTTTATTAGGACTTTCTTTTGCCTTCTCTTTATTCTACAATCTACTCATTCTTAACTTCCTGACTAATTACGTTTCTGTCAAATTTTCAAGTTCAAGACCATTATCAGAGCAATCCTTGGTGAAATGGGCTTCGTTCAGACTTCATGACCGTGAGTCTTTGGGACAGATGGTCGATCCAGTCATGACTGGAAAATTTTCATCCAAGTCTCTGTCACGTTTTGCTGACATCGTCTCCCTCTGTATTCAGGTAACTTGTATGACATTAAACATGCTGATATCCACAACACGTGGCTTGAGAAATGACCTCTTTGAATTTCTTTGGCTTTTTACTGAAATTGTGTTCTATTTTCACATAAAAAGACACATCTTTGATAAAGCACTTCAGAAATTGTGTTGTTATTGGCGGTCATGTGAAATTTGAACGAATGAGTTTCTGTCTGTTTGAAATGCGTCAGCCTGATCAGGAATTCCGTCCCCCAATATCTGAAATCGTGGAGTCTCTGTCATGTCTGCTGCACAAGCCTGGCACAGCAGATGATGCTGAAGTTGACCCCTTCGACCGATCATTCCGCTCTACCAACGCCCGATTCTTTGGATCGCCAACTCTGAGCTACTACTCCAGCTGATTCTACTAGAGGTTGATTGTACAATGGCGAGTCTAGTTTTTTCCAGCGTCACATGTTCTACTTCTGTATCATAACTGTACTGAACAATTAATTCCAGTATTTCAGAGCAAGTAGGATAGGAATTGAGATATTAACCAGATAACTCTTGATACCATATTGTAGGGTATTATTACTGTACTGAACAGTTAATTCCAGTTTTTGATTGCAATAAAACAGGAATTGAGATTATGAACCAGTATAGCTTTTGATACCATATTATGTTAAGTGGGTTGCGTTGCTGGACCTTTTTCGCCAATCCTGAGTTCGGCTCAGCCCACTAGGCGAGCAGGCCCATGCTCGCTTTGGGATGAGCCAAGCACGGGCCGGCTCACTCGAAGAAAAATGCGGCTTGACTCACCCCACCAGCTCGCCTCTAGGTGGGCCAAACTGAGCCGGATCGCACATGTTTATATTTTTTTATTAAATTTCTTTTATTTTATTTAGTTCCCGTCCCTGGACGAGCCATCAAGTGGTTTGCACGGAAAAACTCAGCTTGGCTCGAGGCTCGTCCCACTTAACATCCTACCCTATTACATTAAACCTTTTCCCCATTGTAAGGCAAAGGATGCAATAAATTTTGATAGCATAATATCATATCATGAACTCAGCTTTTCCCCCTTATAAATTCCATCAAATGTGCTTGTTTAAAGGGTACCAGAAATGGCATTTTACTCGAATACCATTCTAGTAAATTCAACAGGGAAAAACCAGACCTAGTTGACGAGAGAAAATGATAACAAGCCTAGTTAATAATTTTACTTTATTAAATAGTCTAAAAGTTCTCTTGTCAAGGAAAATGGATACGTTTAACTCTATTCCCAAGGGACAAAATTAAAAAACAGAAATATGTGACAGCTAACAAACATGCTGTTGATTATTAGTCTTGACTAGTTCGCTGAATTATTGATAAAGGAAGGGCTTTTTGGGAGAAGAGTCATAGAGGTGCTAATTGGGTATTTTTTGAATTATTGACCTTGCTTTATCGATATCGGAGAGAAATGGGGTTGACTTGGTAGTTAAAGATGGAGTGTTTATGATTTCCAGGGTAGTAGTTTGCTTTTGCTATCGCATTTTCATTGCATCCCGCATGCCTAGTGTTGAAACAGCACTCAATGGGTAGAACAATATAACCCCTTCTTCCCGTTCGGCTTGTGGGGCGAAATCTCTAAGTATGGAAATGGACCAAAATCTAACTATTTAGTTCTGGTTCGATCCAATTCGATTTCTTCAATTGAAGTTCTCAAATTCAGTAACTAATGAACGTCTAACTATAAAAGTTCTCAAACTATAAATTCTTCCAAGTATCTAAGTTGTTTCTAATATCTTCATCAAAACGATTGGCATTGATGCTCATGATTTGCATTTTCAAGTTTAAACTAAATGCAACAATTTACATCAACTAGTTAACTATTGAATTGAATAAACATATCAGTTTCACTTCCACTTTATGTGAAAATGCTAACTTGAAAGGAATGAAATGATTACAAGCCCTTTATTAATGAAATACGCTACATGTACAGTCATTAATGGGCTGTAAAATTTACTGCCCACTAATGATTGTAAAGGTGACTTTTTTGTTTATTAATCCAAATTATATCTATAAAATTTAAACGATCCATTTGTCTGAGTTTATGAATAAAACTATAATGAATTGAATACGACTTGAGGTACTACGGTGATGTTTCGAAGAAAGAGTTAAATGGTTGCTCCATAACATAAGCCACTATTTAAAAATAAAAAATATCGGTTAAAATGAAATTTTTTGGAACTTGATATTAGAAAGGAGAATTGGATCGAAACTAAGAGTCCGTTTGATTGCAAATGTGGAAAATGAAAATGGGTAGAAATAAAATGAATTTTAGGGAATTGAATTGTCTAGAAATTGTTTTACTGTGAATTATAATTAATTATGTTTGGTTGATATAATTTTCTACCTAGAAAATGTTGAAAGTTTGGTGTTCGTTTGGTTTTGTTTTTCATGTAATTTGTCCATTAAAGTGATAATTTCTTTTATTATTGGGTCTAGAATTTTTTTAACTTGCCAAAAAAAAAAATATATATATATATAAAATTATCATACCGAATACCATTCATTTTGTTTTGTTTTGTATGGAAATTGTCAATAAAAGTGATAAATTTTTTTACCATTGAATTTAGAATTTTTTCTTATTACAAAAAAATAAAAATAAAAACCTGGAAAATGAAAACCCACCTAAAAGGTGGAAAAACAATTCCAACAAAAGGTGGAAAACGTAGAAAGTGAGAAAAATTTTTTAGGGATGCTACACGTACAGATTTATTCTCACAGAAGCCTTACATAAATTTGAAAAATCTGATGTGGCACTGCTGGATTCCTTTTATCCTGACACACCAACCCGCCCCCTTTTATCCACCCCCAACCACAACTAACAACCCAACACAGGCAACGTGAACGTCTTCCTTTTCTTTATTTTTTCCTTATTTATTGTCATAGATTTCTAAGTTATTGCGTGCATGTGAAACGAAGTCAAAATATTACATCTTGTACACCATTTCGAAGTACTCACGACCTAATTTATTGCATTCTTAA